CTTGTTTTTGGCCTCGCTCTTCCTCATTCCGAGTCCCTTCGGCGCCTTGTTTTTGGCTCGCTCTTCCGGCCACTCAGCTTTTGTTTTTTTTTTAGCTGCCGAGTGCCTGTCGAAGGGCTTTTGGGGTCCTTATAATAAGGATCCCACTATTTAGGGTACTGTAGTAGGGTCCCCCTATTTTCGGAAACTCAATGGATGTTTCCGCCTTCCGGAGGCTCCTCTTCTTACCCTAGGCATTAGTAGGGAATAGGGCTCCTTTAAAGGGATCTATAGGGCTCCTTTAAAGGGATCTATAGGGGTTTAGGGTTCCTTCAAAGGGATCTATAGGGCTCCTTTAAAGGGATCTATAGGGGTTTAGGGTTCCTTTAAAGGGATCTTTAGCTTTGGTTAGTAGGGAATGGAGGAATGGGGTACAATTATACTTACTGTTACTACCATTCTTCCATTCCCTACTAACCAAAGGTAAGATATAGGATTATTAAGGCTCCTATGTAGTACCCTTATAGATCCCTTATAGTAACCCTTATAACCCCCTCTATAGGGCCCCTTCCATTCCCTACTGACCAAAGGTAAGTCTTTCCGAAAAGTCGCTCCCTGAGTTCTGTCGATTGGTTTGCCTCCACTTCCTCAGCTTTGAAAGTCCTTTCGACCGGATTGCTCCTCCTTCTCAATGTCTCCTGCTTGTCGGACTCTCTAGTATCTTCCGAGCGGTCTGGCCTTCGATCTTTCGATTGCTCTAGAAATTTGGTCAAGTCCCTCCTCGACTGGCTGGGTCGTCTCTTCCGAGAGGTGTGCTCCTGCTTTGCTAATCGGGAGCCCATGTTGAACGGTTGGAGCCCATGTTGCATGGTTTGCTCCTTGTTCTGAAACTCTCCTGTTGCCAGAGAATCTAGCCTCTTTCGAGCAATTTGCTACACTTCGCACATGTTCTAGGCCGTCTGCTCACCTCGGTCAATTTGCCTAATCTTTCTTGAAGGGCTTGCTCCTCGTGCTCAAAATGTCCTTTCTTTTCCGATCAGTTTGCTCCCTCACTACCCCCTTTCGCTCCTCGTTCTCGCCCTCTTCTCTTTGTCAACTAGGGGCTTGGAGGAAAGCACAATCTCGTGATATAGATCATATATTGACCACAGGCAAGAATTATCAACCATTTAAACCCATACAGTATCCCTACATGCTACACCTAAACACCCTGGACCCTAACCCCCTCCCCTTAGCACCCTTAAAGGAACCCTTATAGATCCCTTTAAAGGAACCCTTAAACGAACCCTTATAGATCCCTTCAAAGGAACCCTTGAAGGAGCCCTTCAATAGATCAGTTTAAAGGAACCCTTAAAGGAACCCTTATAGATCCCCCTAAAGGAACCCTTATAGATCCCTTCAAAGGAACCCTTGAAGGAGCCCTTCAATAGATCAGTTTAAAGGAACCCTTAAAGGAACCCTTATAGATCCCCCTAAAGGAACCCTTATAGATCCCTTCAAAGGAACCCTTGAAGGAGCCCTTCAATAGATCAGTTTAAAGGAACCCTTAAAGGAACCCTTATAGATCCCCCTAAAGGAACCCTTATAGATCCCTTCAAAGGAACCCTTGAAGGAGCCCTTCAATAGATCAGTTTAAAGGAACCCTTAAAGGAACCCTTATAGATCCCCCTAAAGGAACCCTTAAAGATCCCTTCAAAGGAACCCGTTAAAGGAACCCTCAGTTTATCTGTGCAGTCGATGGAGCTCTCGGCGGGTTGCCCGCTGCTCTGGCCGGAGGACTTCGCACTTACCTGAAACTTCGCTTCGGCCCCGCGGTTTTCTGCTTTTTTTGAAGACTTGGGAGGTTTAGGGTTTGGGTTTAGGGTTCAGGGTCTTCTGTTTACAGTGTTTACAGTTTGTCGGCTTGAGGCTTTGGGGGGTTTAGGGTTCAGAGCTCAGGGATCAAAGTGTCTAGGGTGCAAAAGATGAGAGCTGGTTCCACAAGGGTCCTTTCAACACCCTTGCATGCTCCCTGGGTCGGGACTTACGAGTGCCGGGGTCCCGACTTTCCTTGGCCCACGGCGTTTCAACTTGCTGTCGGAGGCTCATGGCTCTGCAAGCGAGAACCCTCACGTTGGCTTCTTGGAGGTTCATGGGTAGTTATAAGTAGGGTTCTAAGTCCCCGAATATGGGTTGTAGCTATACTTGTCCTACTTATATCCCCACTTGTAACTACCCATGAACCTCCAAATTCGGTCGAGTTCAATACCCAGGGCCGCTTTTTTGGCTGCAGTTATGCGGGAGGCGATGCTCCACAACCGAGGGTGGGTTTCGGTACACCCTCCTCGACCCGCATCCAGGGTGAGGGTTTAGGGTTGAGGGTTTAGGGTTTAAGAGCTCACCGCCACAACAGCAGCAACGGATAGGCAAATCATTGTCATGAGTACAGCTTCCCCCTCATGACCGCCTGCTTATCGCCGCCAGAAGCCCCCAGCACCAAACCTAAACCCCGAAGCCCTGGGCGCCCAGCCCCTCAACATCTCAACCCTAAGCCCAGCCTTACAAAGCCGCAACAGCTAGTATGAACATTCGCTGGAGATGCCTTAACCCTAGACCCTAAACCCTGAACCCTAAACCCTTAACCCTAAGCCCTTCCCGTCAAGAACGGCGAGACTGCGAAGACGGTCCACGTCAGATATCAGCAAGACCTCTTTCCCTACGAAGAAGTAATAAGGACGACAATGTATACCTATGCACATGCACAGACTTAGGCTGCTGCAGCAACACCAACTTCAACAGAAGCAACCACGACAGACCACTTGTTCTTGAAGGTCAGAGACCGCATCAACCAAATCTCGAAGCAAGCATCTACCCACATTCACCCTCGTTTCTTCTGCGGCAGGGCGTCTGCAGCGCGTGTAAAAGCCCGGCATGGCGGTGTCCTGACATGATGCACGATGCAAGATACATGGCTCTACTTGGGGCTATGTCGCCTGGCCACTAACCTCACCGGCGTCACTACCAACACTACAAAACCAGCAATATCATTACTGTCGTGAACGTCCTTGCCAACATCCTCCGCCTACAACCCTAAACCCTAAACCCTGAACCCTAAACCCTGAACCCTAAACCCTAAACCCTAAACCCTGAACCCTAAACCCTGAACCTAAACTAAACCCTAAACCCTAAACCCTCATCAATACCGGCACGAAAAGACTGGGTTCCCGACAGCGGCCCAAGCCAAGAGGGCCAAAGTCCGAGAATCCGAGAATCCCGGGCCCTGAAGCTCTAGACTCTACTATAAGAGGCCTGCATAACAATAATAAATAGTAATCAGAATAATAACAATAATAAATAGTAATCAGAATAATAACAAGAATAAATAGTAATCAGAATAATAACAATAATGATCATAATCATAGTAAGACTGCTATTAGGGGCCTATAGGACTCTCAACAAGCTTTGCTTCAAGGAAGGTAAAACGCGGCCGGGACACGCAGTTGTCACAAATCCACTCCGCCATGTCGCACCTTCAGGACTAGAGAACCATCAACTGACCTCCTTGTAATCTGTCACAGTAGGGTTCAGAAAGAATCTTACTAACACCGTGGGTCATAGAAGCCTGGGTGCTGGGGGGCGCAGTGGGCTTCAGCGCTTTGTGCTTTTCTAGGCTGAGTCCGTTTAAAGGAACCCGACTCCGATCATTATAAACCCCTATAAGATCCCTAAGACCCCTTAAAACCCCATAGAGCCCCATTAAGACCCCTTAAAACCCTATAAACCCCTATAAGATCCCTTAAAACCCTATAAACCCCCAGCAAGACCCCTGAAAGCCCTATAAACCCCTATAAGATCCCTTAAAGCCCTATAACCCCTCTAAGATCCCGTAAAAAACCCTCCCAGTTGAGCCTTTTGAAGCTTGGGCTCCCAAACGGTAGAGGAGTAAAGACCGAGGGGGCCCGAACCGGGCTTTGCATGAAAGGTTTTGGGATACTTAAAGGATCATGGGACTTAGTAACTAGGGTTATTATTAGGGTAAACGTACTTATAACCCCAATTAGGGTACTTATAAACTTACTAACTAAGTCCCATGATCCTCCAAGTAGGGCCTTCAATGTAGGTGCCTCAATAATTACCTATGTTACGGTTGATGATATAAATCCTGCATGACCAATGATAAGGAATATACCAAACTTCCATAGTTTTGGGTTTTTAAGGTATTGCAGGATTTATATTATCAACCGTATTTTGGAGGTTCCTTATGTTAATTATGTTAGTTCTAGAATAAAGGCGGATTTTTGGTGCGCCTCAGCGGGGCCGGACCGCAGGGGGAGGCGTGGGCCGCACACAAATCAGCCTACTATGTGGGTACTTGGAGGATCATGGGACTTAGTAAGTAGGTTATAACTGGGGTTATAAGTCCCCTAAGTGGTGTTATCCTAAATATAACCTACTTATAACCTTACTTACTAAGTCCCATGAGCCTTCAAGTAGTTGTCAAAATTCGGGTCCCTTTTTTTGGGTACCCTAAATATTCGGTGCCGTTCTATATTATATTAAGGACCCAAAAAGGGACCCTAGTTTTGACAACTACCCATGTAATTATAGTACAGTGGGGACCAAAACCCTATTCTAATCATTGAGGCCTCTACATTAGGGCCTTTAGGGCTTAGGAAAGTGCTCCAATATAAGAGGCCGTACACTGGCCTCGCATAGGGTTTTCCGGCAGTTTAAGGCATCAGACCCCACATTCTACTAGAGCTTTCTGCTGCTTAAAGTTTCCCTCGGACATGCGCAGGCATGGACTCCTTCGCAGGGCAAACGATGGGCGAACCGAAGTCTTCCGAGTTACTCTTGGAGTAGGTGCGACTTTTTCTTGCTTAAAGCTCCCCGCTGTCGGCAACTCCAAGGCAGATGGTGGATGCCAAAGCCCAATCTGATGTAGGGGCCTTCATAATTAGAATAGGGTTTTGGGGCCCAATATACTATAATTATAATAAGGAACCCCCAAACTAGTATTGGTAATTATTTAAGCCCCTATGTTACTTCTGAAAGCCATGACTCAATTGCTGGTGAGCGTGGTTTCCCTGCATCTGCTCTATAATCTCGTTGATGCTGCTCGCAATGGGCAGGGTCGCCGTGAAGATCTCCCATGTGCTCCAAGGTGTCTGACGCTGAAGCTCCTGGTCACAGGTACTCGTCCGAAAGAGCCTTGGACAAGGCTTCCTGGACGTCAACGCACCCCGGAGCACCGACACCGCACCTTCAACAGAAAATAAGCCCTAACAAGCACCCCTTAAACCCTTTGCCCCCAAACCCTTAACTTTCCCAAACCCGAAACAAAACCCAAGAACAAACCCATAACGCAGGCGCCCAAAATTTAAACCCTGAACCCTAAACCCTAAACCCTAAACCCTAAACCCTATAAGCCCTAAACCCTATAAACCCTAAACCCTAAACCCTAAACCCTAAACCCTAAACCCTGAACCCTAAACCCTGAACCCTAAACCCCTATAAACCCTAAACCCTAAACCGCCTTAAAAGGACTGCGACTGAGCCGGCGGCTCATCGCGGCCAGTTCGGAGGTTCTTCTGCTGGTTGCCATTCAGGACAACGAGGCCTAGGCCCAAGAGTCTCATTTTTTAGGGTTTAGGGGTTTAGGGTTTAGGGTTTAGGGTTTAGGGTTTAGGGGTTTAGGGTTTAGGGTTTAGGGTTTAGGGTTTAGGGGTTTAGGGTTTAGGGTTTAGGGTTTAGGGTTTAGGGGTCATAGCTCATAACCTACTGTTTTGTAGGGTTTGGTGACACAGGTACATCCTAGACTAGGCCCAAGAGTAGCCTAGGAATAAAAAGGGTGCCCTTTTTGGTTTAAAGGGGCCTATAAGGGAACCCGACACCTACAAAAAGGGAATAAGGGCCTACTCCAGATCCTAGAGGCCTAGTTGCCAGGGTTTAGGAAAAGAGCTCCTTTCCTATTGTCCCTAAACCCTAAACCCGAAATCCTAAGCAAACCCCAAAGCCTAAACCCTAAACCCCAAATCCTAAAGCCCAAACCCCAAATCCTAAATCCTAAACCGAGGAAGTCCACGGGGTTATAAGGTCTGATTGAAGGACGCTTCGTCTTACAAGGATAGGATCTGTGGTGCTCGTCCAAGTTCGAAGTTTTCTTCCTCAGTCAATCGGGGCTCCACAACATCTGTTGGGTCCTGGCCAGCTGAAGGTTTTGCGGAGTTGAATCGCTTGGTAGGCTTTCGGCTTTTGGGCTTGGGATCTCGTAGGGCTCACGGTTTAGCAGCGTCCTCTCCGATGTTCCGCCCCATGGTGCCTCTATGTGGGTGGTTGTCAAAATTACGGTCCCTTTTTGGGTCCTTAATATAATGCGGCACCTAATATTTAGGGTACCCAAAAAGGGACCGTAATTTTGACAACTACCTATGTGCCTCTCATAGGTGACAAGAGACCGTGGTGATGCAGAACATGGAGAGTGGAGTTTGGGGCACTGCTTGATGGGCTGCAGGTACTTGCCCTTCGTTTAGGAATCTCGCACCGGCGGAGCCTATGGTACAGTTGTGGTAGGATGGACTTCGAAGACACTCTGAATGTACCGGCTTCACGCTATAAGAGTGCCACACCGAACGATGAGAGTCCGCATGTCTGGGTAACTTAAGCAGTCTGTCCAAAGCGAACCCATGCGCGCTCATGATGCGATTCCTTTAGGGGCTCGTAATCCACGGATATGTGTGGGGGGAAACTTGCCCAGCGACTGTCTTTGCGCTTCTTGCCCTTCGCGAGGTCTAGCGCAACTGCCTAGAGAGGAATTCCAGGAAACATCAGGCATTTGCAGCAGGCCCGGTGACGGAAGCACAGGTCCATCATGACTTCTTCGATTCAGGAGTTCTTGCAGCAAGGTCGAAGCATGCGCGTACATGTCAGTAAAGCCAAAACCGAAACCCCAGCACAGACCCAGAGCTGCGAAACAAGGACAAAGAAGGCAAAGCAGAAGCTGCCTGCTGCCAGGAGCTCATGGACAGCGCAGGGATCTTCGTATCACCATGGGCTTAAGAGGTCGAGGTCTACCCAAACTCTCCCTTTGCTTTGCGTGGTGTAGGTGTGAGGGTGGGGTTCTGCAGCCGAGACTTGCTTGATGTGATGGGAAATTCATGCCGCACAACACCAGAAAGCTAGGCCAACAGCATTCGCACAAGGGGAGGAGGGGTTCAACGTAGAAACCGAGCGGGGGAGACAGCCGTGGACTTGTGGCAGCTTCAGCAGCTCATGGCAACCAGCGCCTCAAGGCTGTTCAGTTGGGGTCTAAGGCACATACACCTTACACTCTATTACAATATGTTATTGTTTTTCTAGTACGTTTTACCCTAATGGTACATTAGAGCAAAGAAGAAGCCATGACCTTCAAACAAGTGGAAGACCTAGAGTTCGTTGAGGGCTTTTTGGCTCCCAGGCGACAAACAGCCTTGGGCTTTTTTGAGTACTGCCGAGCCACAAAGGGCGACGGGGGGCGGCTCAATATGGATTACAATTTGCCAGTTGTCGAACAACGGCGCATTACAGTCACAGTCTTGATGAAAGCGACAGCCAACTGCAGTATGGTCATGATTCTAGCGCGCACAAACCTACTTAATGACTTACCGCATAGATGTGGCTAGAAAAATCGATGATCCCTTGCCCCGAACAAACAAATTCGGTGAGTCGTCAGTAGTGGTTAAGAGCTCCGGTTTGATTCACACTTGCTGGCTTGCATGCCTTACACTTATTTCCCGAAAGCTCTACAACTCGGGCAGAGACAAGCTACATTTCGATGCCAGACTGTCCTTGAACAGTGCCCAAAACGGGAGACAGCAGGTGGCAATCGTAGGAAAGTGTGGGTATCAAAGCTGCCCTCGTTATGACTCTACTTAGACGTAAACTGCATACTCCTAGCTGCCAAGACCTGCAACTTCTTTAAAGCCTCTGAAACTTTGAACCTCAAGCAAGCCTCTCGCAAGCCCACGCCAGACCCTGCGCCCTGAAGGCCAAGGCCGAACCTTGGCATAGCCGCCATAGCTCACACCTGTCGAAGGGGACTTAGTAAGTAGGTTGGAAGTAGAGTTAGAAGTGCCCGAAATGGAGTTACCTCAATTATAAGCCTAGCTGAGAGCCCCTTCTGCGGCTGTGGACAGAAGTCAACTTTCTGACCCCAGACTACCCTCAGCAATGAGCAGTCTCAGCGATAACTGCCAAGACACCAGCATTCCCAATGGTACTTGCGATTTAGAATTCTGAGGAACACGACATCCTGAACGTCCCTATTTCAAGCTTCTTGTCTGAAGTAGACGGAATTCACATCAAGCTCGTCAGCGGATACGCAGAAGAACGAAGGTGCATGCCACTTCGACACATGCCTTCACGTCCTACTGTAGAACCAGAATCCTGCTTGCATTGCACCGTAGTTGGGAATATCCTTCAGGCTGTATAAAGGCGCTACAACTCGTAAATCCCATCAACAAGCCCAACAAAACAAGAACTCTGCAAGACCTTGCAAGAAGCCCTTTAAGAAACCGCACCAGAAGCTTTCACCAACGCCATAGAAGCTCTTTTACAACAGTGCACCGAAACATAACGACCCGATAATCAGTATACATAAACCCTTAGCCCATTATGACTATCATGAATATGATTGTTTGTATGATGATGATACTTGTGAGTAGCATTATGATGTTATCAGCAATATGCTTATATTAGTATTATGCTTATTCTTATTATGACTAGAACTATTGTTCTTATTACGCTTACTTTTCCTCTTCTTCTTATTTTTGTTATTCTTATGATGAAACTATGAGTCGTATTCTTATTAATATCATTATTATCATTAGTATTATTATTACCATTATTATCATTATCATTATCATTAATATTATTATTATTATTATTATTATTATTATTATTATTATTATTATTATTATTGTTATTATTATTATTATTATTATTAGCATGAGGTGTTTTCGGCCGGGTTGCCCTCTCCATCCTTCGCGGCTTGGAGCTTTGCCTCGAAATCAGTTGGAGGACACGGATTGGGGCTTTTTTGGGGGGAGGGGGTTTAGGGTTCAGGGCTTAGGGTTTAGGGTTCAGGGTTTGGGGCTTTGGGTTCTTTTGAAGGTTTTTCGAAGGCTTTTAGGGCTTCGGGGTTTCAGGGTGCTAGGGTGTTAGGAACTTTAGGGGTTTTAGAGCTGTATTTCTAAGGCTTCGGGGGTTTAGGATGTTACCAGCAGGGTTGTTAGAGCTCTGGAGCTTCAGGGTTTGGGGGTTAAGTTTAGGGGTCTGGGCTTGCTTTGGGTTCTTGCGTTTCTTTGGGCTTCTGGGGTTTGGGGCTTCAGGATTGAAGTTCTAGGATTCTGGGGTTTAGGGTTTAGGGTTTGGTCTTCCGGGTTTAGGCTAAGCCGTTGAGGGCGGAAGGTTCGCTTGAAACGAGAAGCGAAGATTCAGGGCAAGATTCAGGGCAAGAGCGACCGACGACATCGATACCAGTTGCCCTGTATAGAGGCACTAGATTTTCTAATACTAGGAAATATGGTTTCTGTAAAATCGCCCTATATTTTCCAGTTCACTATGGAGACGACGACGAGCAGCTGCTGTAGGACGCCCTTCAGAGAACCCAATGCAAACAGTTGCCCTTGAAGAGGAAGCGAAACCAGCACATCACTGCTCACCACGTGACTACATCAAAATTCTCTGAAGTGAAACTTTGCAGACTGCTGGGTAGTTGGATGCCCTCCAGGCTCTGGTCGAACTCATATCCGAATGTCAAACTCTGCAGGCTGCTGGGTAGCTGCACGCCCTCCAGACTCTGGTTGAAACAGCCACCAAACGTCAAACTCTGCAGGCTGCTGGGTAGCTGCACGCCCTCCAGGCTCTGGTTGAAACAGCCACCAAACGTCAAACTCTGCAGGCTGCTGGGTAGTTGGACGCCCTCCAGGTTCTGGTCGAACTCATATCCGAATGTCAGACTCTGCAGGCTGCTGGGTAGCTGCACGCCCTCCAGGCTCTGGTTGAAATTGTCACCAAACGTCAAATTCTGCAGGCTGCTGGGTAGTTGGACGCCCTCCAGGCTTTGGTTGAAATAGCAACCAAAAGCCAAACTCTCCAGGCTGCTGGGTAGTTGGACGCCCTCCAGGCTCTGGTCGAACCCATATCCGAATGTCAAACTCTGCAGGCTGCTTGGTAGCTGCACGCCCTCCAGGCTCTGGTTGAACAAATATCCGAACGTCAAACTCTGCAGGCTGCTGGGTAGTCGGGTGCCCTTCATGCTCTGGTTGAATTTTTCACCAAACGTCAAACTCTGCAGGCTGCTGGGTAGTCGGATGCCCTCCAGGCTCTGGTCGAACTCATATCCGAATGTCAAGCTCTGCAGGCTGCTGGGTAGTTGGGTGCCCTCCAGGCTCTGGTTGAAATTGTCACCAAACGTCAAACTCTGCAGGCTGCTTGGTAGTTGGACGCCCTCCAGGCTCTGGTTGAACAAATATGCGAACGTCAAACTCCGCAGGCTGCTGGGTAGTTGGGTGCCCTCCAGGCTCTGGTTGAAATTGGCACCAAACGTCAAACTCTGCAGGCTGCTTGGTAGTTGGACGCCCTCCAGGCTTTGGTTGTTCTTGCAACCAAAAGCCAAACTCTGCAGGCTGCTTGGTAGCTGGACGCCCTCCAGGCTCTGGTTGAAATTGTCACCAAACGTCAAACTCTGCAGTCTGCTGGGTAGCTGCACACCCTCCAGGCTCTGGTTGAAATTGTCACCAAACGTCAAGCTCTGCAGGCTGCTGGGTAGTTGGACGCCCTCCAGGCTCTGGTTGAACAAATATGCGAACGTCAAACTCCGCAGGCTGCTGGGTAGTTGGGTGCCCTCCAGGCTCTGGTTGAAATTGGCACCAAACGTCAAACTCTGCAGGCTGCTGGGTAGTTGGACGCCCTCCAGGTTCTGGTCGAACTCATATCCGAATGTCAAACTCTGCAGGCTGCTGGGTAGCTGGGTGCCCTCCAGGCTCTGGTTGAAATTGTCACCAAACGTCAAACTCTGCAGGCTGCTGGGTAGTTGGACGCCCTCCAGGTTCTGGTCGAACTCATATCCGAATGTCAGACTCTGCAGGCTGCTGGGTAGCTGGGTGCCCTCCAGGCTCTTGTTGAAATTGTCACCAAACGTCAAACTCTGCAGGCTGCTGGGTAGTTGGACGCCCTCCAGGCTCTGGTTGAACAAATATGCGAACGTCAAACTCTGCAGGCTGCTGGGTAGTTGGGTGCACTCCAGGCTCTGGTTGAAATTGTCACCAAACGTCAAATTCTGCAGGCTGCTGGGTAGTCGGATGCCCTCCAGGCTCTGGTCGAACTCTTTTCCGAATGTCAAACTCTGCAGGCTGCTGGGTAGTTGGATGCCCTGGTGGAGGTCTTGGTTGGAATACCACGTTAGCGACATCGTTTCGTTCAGGGCAGCTACATCAGACAGAGTTCTCTCTTCGAGGAGGCGCTCCCAAAGCATCGCAACACGACCCGCGCCAAGCTTCCGCACCACGTACCAGATCTCGTCGTGCTGGACTTGGTGCAGCAGCGGCTGGCGCTGATCGATGACACAACCACCGGATGTCAGCACAAGTAAACCTGTCGCGTGGCCAACTCCGGCTGCGATGCGTTTCGCTACTTCCCACCCCGTTTCAGCAAAGTCGACCTCCAGCTCAAAGCTGGAACCTGCCAAGCAATGAACGCTCACGGTCCGCTTGGCCCTGTCCGGACCGGCTGCTGCAGGCTGCGGGACGCTCAATTTTCGTTTCATAATGTCTTCACACGGACGCAATGGTCCATGGCGTTGGCGGCGCTTCCCGGAGACGCTGGGACCAAAAGCCCAGTAATTCCGAAGCTTAGGGTGTAAGGTAACTATTGACATGTATGTGTATGCGCATAGCCTTGCTAGTAACTATGAACATGCATATATGTATATATACACATACACACACATCAGTACATACATACATATATATATATATGTATATATATATAATGTGTACACACGTGTATGGATGTATTTTCACACGCACATATGTACATATACACATGTTGTTATTGGTTTATGCCTGCTACTGCTAGTACTACTACTACTACTACTACTACTACTACTACTACTACTACTACTACTACTACTACTACTACTCCTACTACTACTACTACTACTACTACTACTACTACTACTACTACTACTACTACTACTACTACTACTACTACTACTACTACTACTACTACTACTACTACTACTACTACTACTACTACTACTACTACTACTTCCTACTACTACTACTACTACTACTACTACTACTACTACTACTACTACTACTACTACTACTACTACTACTACTACTACTACTACTACTACTACTACTACTCCTACTACTACTCCTACTACTACTACTACTACTGCTACTACTACTCCTACTCCTACTCCTACTCCTACTACTACCACTACTACTACCTTTACTACTACTACTACTACTGCTACTACTACTACTACTACTACTACTACTCCTACTACTACTCCTACTACTCCTACTCCTACTCCTACTCCTACTCCTACTCCTACTCCTACTCCTACTACTACTACTACTACTACCACTACTGCTACTACTACTACTACTACAGTCGCAGTAAGGAGCCCACAGGAATGGCATATCAATGATGTTGGGCGTTAGGCGATGGGTAGTTCTCTCAACTAGAGCCCCCTTTTTGGCTCCTCGAGAACGTACGGCACCTGTAGAGGACCCCAAAGGGGACTCTGATGGCTTCAGGCTGGGCTCTTGCGGCACAACTTCCTACAACTTCCTGCGTATAGCCATTTTAGGCAGAACATGCTATGCAAAACAAGCTTTACACACTGGATGTGCAAAGTCTTGTATATTGTATGATACTCCGAACCTTCCTAACAGCAGTTGTCAGCACACTGCAGTTGCCTTGCCGTGGGAACTCACGACCATGTGCACGCCACCGGCGTCGCCTGCAGTGGCAACAAGAGCACCGACTCGGGGTGGGCGGGCGGGGTAGTGCCAAACAAATCGATTGACACTCCAAACGGTCTTGCAGTTCTGAGCACATGTACACCACTCCTGAAAACCAGTGCATGAAACTGAACCCTACTGAGCCGCTCCTGCAAAAGGAACTTCTGAAGTTCTGGCCCTAAACCTGAACCCTAAACCCTCAACCATAAACCCCTAGCTCCTCCCGCTTCGCCCTAAACCATACACCCTCTGGAAATCTGTGCAGAAACCCGTATGATGTGTCCGGGTAAGTCCCGTGCCAGCCGCATGGCCGCCGCCCCGAAACGCCGCGACGACAACGCCCTCACCGCCTTGGCCTTGAGCTTAGAGGTGCTTTAGGCTTCAGGGCTCGAGGGTTTAGGGCTTCAGGGCTTTAGGGCTTCAGGGCTTTAGGGCTTTAAGGCTTTAGGGTTTTTTGGGGTTTAGAGCTAGGAAGCCGTGCAGCCCACTGTCTTGGCTTTCGGGGTTTCAACTTAATCCAAGCCCCGAGACCCCCCCAAGCTCTACGTAGCCTTAAACCCTAAAGAAGCCTTAAATCCTAAGCCTAAGCAAAACCCTGCCTGGGAACCCTTTACCCCAAACCTAAGCCCTAAACTCCCGAGACCCACTACTCCCGAAGCCCCGAAACCCTAGTCTCCCTAAGCCTAGTCTAGGATACCCAGTAACCTAAGAATAAACAGGCCTCTCTTTTTGGTATTGGGTAACTTTATAAGGAACCTAGGACTACAAAAAGGGAATAAGGGTACTACTGGGCATCCTAGTAGTATAGGAGCCTGAAAATTAGAATAGGGTTGTGGGTAACACAAATAAGGAACTCCCAAAATAGTATGGGTAATTATTGAAGCCCCCATACTATGGAACCCTGCTATAGATCCCTTATCGATCCGCGTTAAGGAGCCCCAAGGTAGTATTGGTAACTCTTTAAGCCTAAACCCTAAACCCTCAATCCTAAACCCTAAACCCTCAACCCTAAACCCCTAAACCCCTAAACCCCTAAACCCCTAAACCCTAAACCCTTAACCCCTAAACCCTCAACCCTAAACCCCTAAACCCCTAAAACCCCTAAAACCCCTAAAACCCCTAAAACCCCTAAACCCCTAAACCCCTAAACCCCTCAACCCCTAAAACACCTAAAACCCCTAAACCCTAAATCACTATGTAGACCCTCTAAACCCTCAACCCTAAACCCCTAAGTCACTATTTAGACCCCCGTATTCTATACTGAACTTAGAACCCTAGCAAAAATTATAATTTTAGCTGTTTCTTAGGGATTATAATAACCAAAAATTAAAAATAATTTCTAAGTACCCCTAAGGTATCATTTAGGCCCTTCCCGGCCTCCGGGCTTGCCGTACTCGGAGCCCCTGCCCTCCTGGCAGAGGCTCTTTGAGGGCCGACAAGAAGGACTTTGGTTTAGGGCTTAGGGTTTACTGGGTTCTTGTTAAGGAGTTCATGTAACTTACCATGATAAGGAAACCCAACTATTTTACAGGAGATCCCAGTTGGTATTTTTACAAGACTAGGATACCCAGTAACCTAAGAATAAACAGGCCTCTCTTTTTGGTATTGGGTAACTTTATAAGGAACCTAGGACTACAAAAAGGGAATAAGGGTACTACTGGGCATCCTAGTTGCGTGTTACCCTTAGGGAGTTTAAGGCTTTAGGGTATAGAGGGTTTAAGGCTCAGGGTTTAATAGGGTTTAGGGCTCAGGGTTTGGAGGGTTTAGGGCTTTAGGGCTTTAGGGTTTAGAGGGTTTAGGGCCTTAGGGTTTAGGGCTTTAGGGCTTGGAAGGGTCTTCTAAGGGCTCTACCGTGATTTTGGCCTAAGGCTCTATATGATCATAAGCTACATAATTTGCCCTAAGGGTCTATCGTTCTCAGCAATATGGTTCTACAAGGTTCCCATAAGGCTTCCAGGACTCCGGGCCTGCGGCTCAGCGGCAGTTTAGGTTTCATGCGTGATTCGAAGAACCGGAGGACCGGAGGACGAAGCCGGGGGAGAGGCAGACCGTTGTACCCGCTATAGGAAGAGCCGCTGCTGTGCACGCAGGTCCTCCATGAGTTCGACATTCCGCTTTTCCTGGCCCAGGCGTTGTTCCCAAACTTCACACAGTAGTAGGCTCTTTAGTCCTGCAGTTGCTGCAGATTTACTGAGGCAGCAGAATCAAGACTGCCGGCCTTCTTGTCCCAACCGATGATGCCGTAGCAGTCTGCAATGTAAACTGGGCACCTCAGGCCAGGTCGCGGAGCAGCTGCCTAACCACATGAATGACCGCAACAAGTAGAAGCACGCCTTTGAAAACCATCGGCCTCTGCAAACAACACTAACAAGCAGAGAAGGCAGAGCACACTGCTAGCAGTGCTGCTAAGGATCACCAAAGATGAGATTGACGTTGGCAGAACCATAACATCACACCAACGGACATGCACGACGGTACACGTCAAGATTGGTTTCAAGGATGCTGTCCGAACTCTCAGACCTGGACACCCTGGTACCCAAATCATCTCCAACACTCACGCCTTTACCCCGAACGAGCGGCCCACCAAGAGAAACGGAACAGAGCCCCAACCCTATAGCGAGAACGCCTCGTGAACGGTTCAATATCCGGTTCGTCTAAGCCTTCCGAGGGCTTGAAGCACCTAACCACAACCCCCAAAACCACCTAAACCCTAAACCCTAAACCCTAAACCCCCAAAACCCGAAACTCCAAAACCCTAAAGCCGATTCCGAAACCTGAAAATTGAAAGCCCAACTAAACCCGAAACCCGAGCCCTGACCTGAACTGAAATCCCAAACCCTACCTACCACTATGGGCTATTAGACCTTATGGGTACCTTAATCTACCCTTAATAGGGTCCTAATAGGGATCTTTAGGGTATAATAGCCCATAGTGGTATAGTCTCCATTGTAGTTCCTTTTTTTGGTTTAACCAATTTTGGATTAAGGATCCTAAAAGGTAACCCCAAAAAGGAACTACAATGGAGACTACAGGTATGATCCATGATCCGCGAAGCCAAACCCAAAAGGCGTTTTAGGGTTTAGGTTTTTTGGGTTTGGGGTTTAGGGTTTAGGGTAGGCCCTATGATCCATGATCCGCGAAGCCAAACCCTAAAGCCTTAACCCCTAGGAACCCTACCACTATGGGCTATTATACCCTAAAAATCCCTATTAGGACCCTATTAAGGGTAGATTAAGGTACCCATAAGGTCTAATAGCCCATAGTGGTAAGGCCAACACCCTCAAACCGAGACCCTACTTCCCCTACCATTCAAAGCCTCAACCCTATGATCCCCTACCCAGACCCCCTTTGGAGGATCCAAAAAGTAGATCCCTTAATGGGGGTTCCTATAAAGTACCCTTCGTAGTGTAGGGCCCAAATTAGGGGATCTACTTTCTAGATCCTCCGGGGGTCTGGGTAAAAGTTTTCCTTACAGGACGCTTTCCTTTCCTTCCCCGAGGCCCGCCCAAGACCCCTTTACAGTAGAAGCCAGAAAGTTGGAACATGAGTTTAGGAGGATTAGTGCTAGGATCCCGTTTTCTTTACCTTAAGGGCATGAGGATACTAATGTTCCAACTTTCTGGCTTCTACCATAATCGCATGCACCTTATTGAATCAAATGATTAACCCACCGGCACTGTAAGGCAGATTCCTGACCTATGGAGTATTCAATCATACTGTTGATGGACAGAATCCTGCACTACGCATTGTAAGGAGTATACCATAGTTCCCATAGTTTAGAGTCCTTAGGGTCATGCAGGATTTCGTCCATCAACAGTACTACGAATAACACCAGATAAGGTTTGAGGCAGATCTACCTCGAGAGCCAGTTCACCCTTATCTTAAGGTCTCTTACAGATGAAGGAACCCTTAAAGGGAACCCAGGATCCCTTAAGGGATCCCTTCAAGGGAACCCTTCAAGGAATCCTTAAAGGGATCCCGTAAATGGACCCGTATTACCTACAGTACCCTTAAAGGGAACCCTTTAAAAGGAACTCACTTTAAGCGCAACGTTCCCCGAGGCTCCGGGGACCCTGGCATGCCGTGGAGGCCCAGGGCACCGCCGGCCACCGAGGCCACGGTCTCCTGGAGTAAGGTTATACTGTTGATGATATAAATCCCTCGGGTTCCTTTAAAGGGATCTATCTATAGGGTACCTTTAAGGGGTCCCCTTTAAGGGATCTATAGGGTTTTGGGGTTTAGGGTTTAGGTTGATGATATAAATCCTGCGTTACCTTAAGGACCCTAAACTATGGGAACTATGGTATATTCCTTCTTATGGGTCATGCAGGGTTTATATCATCAACCGTAGGTACCCTAGTTGGGGTTATAAGTCGCTATAAGTATAGATACCCTAATAATAATAATAATACTAATAATAATAATAATAGTAATAGTAATAACAATAATAATAATAACAGTTTTAGTAGTAATAATAATAATAACAATAATAATAATCATAATAGTAATAATAATACTAATAATAATAATAGTAATAGTAATAATAATAATAACAGTTTTAGTAGTAATAATAATAATAACAATAATAATAATCATAATAGTGATAATAATACTAATATCAATTATAATAATAATAATAGTAGTAATAATAATAATAATACAATAATAATAATAGTAATAATAATACTAATAATAATAATAGTAGTAATAATAATAATAATAATAGGCTCGAGGCCTGAACTTGACCGCTGCGTTTTCGCTGTTCAACTTCGTTCACGAAAACCGAAGCAACACACTACGACGACGACGCGTATCGCATCGTCTTCAAGGGCGGAAGGGTTTTAGGGTTTGGGGAAAGGGTTTGGGTTGTCTTGTGCAGTGGAAGAGAACCAAAACCAAAAAAACCAAAACCAAAAAAAACAAAAAAAACAAAAAAAACAATTTTCAGACAGTCTTGATCAAGAGTTCGGGATAATGCTACTTACAGAAGACTTTCTGAAAATTGATTTTTTTGGTGTTTTTTGTTTTTTTGGTTTTGTTTTTTTTGGTTTCTTTGGTTTTGGTTTTTTTTGTTTTTGTGATTTTGGTTCTCTTCCACTGCACAAGAACGCTGAACCTCCTTCATCCTTCGGGCCCACTGAACTGGACTAGAACTTACCTCTATCACACTCATCTCTATAAATTGCTAATACTACTACTAATGACAATAACAATAGTTATACTAGTGTTAAGACTATTTCAAGTATTTTGAGTAATACCACTAACGAAACCGCTCAAATTATCTACTAACTCTAATCAGTATCCGCTGTGTTGATGTTCTGCAAGCCGTAAGACAGCAAAAACGCAGCAGATAGATTTCCGCTTTAAACCGGTATTTCATAAGGAAACAGGAATGTCATAAAATATGGGCATTTTATATGAAGTTGTGGTAAAGTCCTTGTAAGGTATATATGGATGGGGTATTCTGTAAGGTAAATATCTTGCTACTCTTCTTGGTTCTGGATTCTCTTCATAGTAATCCTTTGCCCAATAAGCTAGAATTGAAATGGGGGCTTCTCAGATCTTGGGCTCCGAATGGTTTTGCATATTTCAAGTCCCTACCTTCAGTGTACTCTATAGGGTATTCGGGTATTCTGCAGAGGATTATAAGGGGTATCCCAGAAGGTATTCTACAGGCATGCTATATGGTGTGTGTGTGTGTATATATATATATATATAGTAATTATGCAAGGGGTATAGGCGGTCTCATAGAAGGTATTCTACAGGGTATTCCAGACGGTGTTCTAGAAGGTATATGTAGGCTACATCGGGGGAATTGTGTAAAGTATTGCATAAGGTAGTCCAAAAGCTATTGCATAGGTTATTCCACAATGTGTTGTAGAAGGTATTCTATAGGGTATGTAAAGGGAGATGTTATCAGGTATTCTGTTCTCTATGTGTATCCCTTAGGCTTCGATTTGTTCACGGATCCTAGATTCCGCTAGCCTAGAAGGTATATCTAGGTGTTGTTCTAAACCGTGTTCTAACAGGTGTTGTCTAGTTTAGAGGGTGTTCAAACAGCTTTATACAAGGTATGTAGGGGGTTATTCTAGAAGGTCGTACCGTATGTTGTATGAACTCCTTTTTAGGTTTTTAGAAAGGGTATTCTGTAAGGTATTCTACAGGCTATTCTCTTTTGTCCACAGGCCATGTTTTGCGCGCACTTCTCACAGGAAGCTTAGGATGCATACACGTACACGTTCCATCCCATGTGCATGTGCTCAAGAGACACCGTGTTAGCATGGAGGACATGGTACATCATCGACCCTTTTGTTTGAAGCCCAAACGCAGCGGTCAAGTTCAAGCTTTGAACCTAATAATAATAATAATAATAAGCCTGGTTACGAGCTATATAACATGGGGTTTAAGGCTTCAGTGTCGCATTTAGGGGTTTAGGAGTTTAGGGCTTTAGGGGTTGTAGCGCTTTAGGGGTTTAGGGATCTTTGGGGTTGAAGGGTTTACGTGTTTCGGAGTTTGGGGCTTAGGGTTTACGGTTTAAGGGTTTAGGGTTTCGGTTTAAAGGCCCTGGGTTTTTTTGGTTTAGGATTACGGGTGGCCTTCATGGGTGGCTTCAGGGCGTGTGCTACAAGGACGTTCGCGGGAAAAAAGATCCTTTGGAGGCGCTTGGGCTTGATGGTTGAATTGAAGTGGGGGTTTCAGAAAACAGGGTTACCTTATTTTGGGGTCCTTACTATTTAGGGTACTATATTAGGGTCCCCTATTTTCGGAAACCCCAAGTGTCATGGGGTTTAGGGACTTTTGGGTGTGTTTCTTGCCTTAGGGATCCTGGTCTTTCACCCAGAGCTTCTGGGTTTTATGGCGTTGCGGTGGTGGGTTGTGTTGCGTAGACTCAGGGCTTCAGCTCTGTCTCATCAGGGTTCTGCTTAGGCTTGAGAAGAGTGTCAACGAGCACTTCGTTTGGTTTCCAAGGACGCGGGCGGGGGAGGCGGGCTAATGTGGGGCAAGGTGCAGTATGGGTGCAGTCTTTGAAGTAGAACAAGACGTGGGCTTTCGGGTCGCGGGGATTGGCGCGTAGGGCCAGTGTGTTGATGTTTTGGGGTTTCAGGCAGCCGATGTGGAGATATGCTGGTGCTGAGAAAGGGTTGAAAGTAAGCTCTGAACGAAACCCGCCCAGCTTCTGTTGCACTCTCGCCTCGGTCTTGTCAAGCCTGTGATTCTATCCATCGATGACTGGGCGTGAAATGGATGGGCATTGACGGGTCGTCGCAACAGCCCAAAAACCCCCAAAGCCCAAATTCCATCTATGACCCCGGTCTCCGGCTTCGTACCCAGGCAGAAGAAGACCAGACCTCACTGGAGTTCGCGGTTTTGGGATGCGCGGCATGTTCTGCCGTCGCGCTCAAAACCAACTTTATGATGGTAACTGGGATCGAAATATTTTCGGGGATTCTTGGAAAGTTTGGGGTTGACCCCATCATCCAACTAAGCTCCCTACGGCTTCAGATTGTGCTTCTGCTTTTGGCAGTTATGGCTGAAGGTCATGGACACGCAGATTTCGGGCTATTGTCCAAAGCCTCGATAGAAGAGAGCCAGGAACCGCGTACCGCAAACCGTGGCATGGACACCCCCTCTCCCGCGAGAAGTCCGCAGGCTTTTGGAGTCTCCAAATCCCTAAACCCTGGGCCTCCAGAAGCCTCAAACCCTCAACCCAAAACCTCTAAAACACGAAGCCCAACACACCCTCAAACCGTACACAAAGCCATGAAGGCCTGACCCCAAAACGCGAAGCTCCAGGGTCAAACCCTGCAAGGGCCCACGCAGGCACGCAAACCTCAACAGAGCCTTGCGTGTTCCCTACTGTCGCAAGCCAGCAAACTAAACAACACACACTGACACACACACACACAGAGACGGGGGCACAAGTTGCAGAGGGGCCGTAAGCGATGAAAACTCCTGAAGCCTTGTCAAAGCACTGTGAAGTACGGAAAGCACGTGAAACACGGCAGCTGCAACATGACCCAGCATTACCACTGAACTTGCTTTCGTAATGCAATGATACGTACTAAGATACTTAAAGGATCATGGGACTTAGTATGGTACTTATAACCTTACTTGCTAAGTCCCATGATCCTCCAAGTAGAGGAACTTATTCCTTAAATCATATTAGGGATCCTACTATAATTTAAGGAATATTCCTTAATTAAGGGATATAGGAGTCTCTGAGGACTTCTGCTCCCAGCTGCAGGAGAGGTCGATGTGGGCCGCCAGCGGGGCTGACGCCAGGGCCAGCGTGGACTCATTCACAGGGCCACGGACCTGGGGAAATTGAGGGGTTTAGGGCTTACAGGGTTTAGGGTTCAGGTTTTACGGAGTTTGGGGTATTTTGCAGCTTCGAAGATCTAGCATCTGGGTGGTTGTCAAAATTATGGCCAATTTCGGGTGCCCTAAATAATAGTGCCGTATTACAATAGGGATCCAAAGAGGGACCCCAATTTTGACAACCACCCATCTGGCTCTGGCTTCCTAGATAAAATGTGGGCGCTTGCAGAGGGAGCTCGAGGCATCTCTGGCTTAAAACGCAAAATAAAGTCGAAACCACGCATGCGGATTCACATGTGCGATCCTCTTAGAAGGCCGTGAGAAAGGCTCCAAATGGCCCCCTTGGAAGGAGTGGTCCGGAAGGCGATGTCTGGCCAGGAAGTCTATAACAAGGATGTCTGCTCTCTCTGGGGTCTGAATTATCAGAACGTCATGTTCTACCATAAGTCTTCTCAGGAACGCCCAAAACAAGCAGCCTTTCTGCTACCTGACAAAGGCCAGATGCTAGGAAGGTCTCAATCTTCCCGGTGGCGCAGCGCGCCAGCCGCGAGGCCGCGTGCGCCGATCTGCAGCCTGGACGTCTGAAGCGAAGGAAGCCCTTTTTAGGGTTTGGGGTTTAGGGTTTCGGGCTTTTAGGTTTAGGGTTTAGGGGTTTTAGGATCTAGAGTTTCGGGTTTTTAGGGTTTAGGGTTTAGGCTTTAGGCTTTAGGGTTTAGGGTTTAGGGTTTAGGGGCTTTAGTTATGTTAGCATAGGAGGGATGTAGTAGGGGTTGAGGGGGCTTGAGCAGGGGTTTCGGATTGATTTGGATCTGGCTCTCTGCCCGGTGTCACATCTGCAATACCGAATGGGAATACATGTTGACACCTATTGACTAGCTACACCGACAGTACCTTCTGTTTCACGATCTTGTCGAACTTGTGGCATTCCTGGAAACACAAACTCAGTCTTCATGACATCAAATCAACAACACTTCGAATACTAGACGAAAGCAAGATGGAGTTCAGTTTTTTAACCCTTCCTGCTGCTCCAATTTGCCCGAGAAAGCATATGACATCTGTGTGGCGTTCATCTGGCTGTTTAATGCGGGGGAGCTCGACTGACTTCTACAGACTGACTGTCACACTGTAACTGTAGAAATAAGGCGGAAATCAACTAAGCTCGTTGCGTACCACCACTGCTACTGCAACTAGCAATGTGACGACAATATTGCTGCTTCCACCAGTGCTGCACGATGTCAGCACTTTACATCTGTAGTTGCAGAAGTGGAACCAACACGACATTGACCATTATGCGAGTCTATAGGATCATGCACCATCTCAGCTACAAAGCTGGGAAACAGTGCTGGCAGTAGTTGCCGTACTTCTTCCATAAATCCCAAACCGGCACCCCAACGCACCAAACGCAAGCATTTTCGCCTTCCAGCCATCTGCAAGAAGCTCAGCTGCGGCAGTCCGAGAATGCAAAAACCCAACAGATAACTTTGGGGCCTCCGGGTTAACCTTTCGACTCCAAAACCCCTTAATTAAGGAATATACCTTAAATTATAATAGGATCCCTAATATGATTTAAGGTATAATCCTGAATTAAGGGGTTTTGGAGGCTCTGGGTAAGACGGTTCAGAGACAAGATGTTCGCGGCGCATCTCGTTGCATTGCAGCCTTTGTTCCTTCACTACAACAGGGCTTGAAGCAAAAATTGGTCGTTGTTATCGGCGCAAGGCTTGCATCATAATATTTAATGTCACCACTTTTTCTCGCTACACCTGACTAGAGACGTATCTATCTATGTACCTATATATCGGGCTGTCTGTAGACATTCTTCTGCAATACAGCATTTCTGAATACAAGATGTTTCGCCAAAATTGCTTGAAAACCCCATGAAACCTTCCCGAATCATTGTAAGTCAAGCCGAACCCACCCTTAGAGCTTTTGGCAGGTCAGCCTCTCGCTTTGGTGTACGATGCATAAACATACACAAAACCATAAAGGCTGGACACAGACCCAGAAGGCCTCACCGCACATCGTAAACTGAAACCTCTCATTTTACGCCGTTGAGCTACGTATCTGCACCCTTGAACCTGGGAGAATGTGCTTTTGGATTCATGGTCCCCATGCTCCCCAAAAATGCTTTCGGGCCCACAGAAACATAGTATCAACACCCTATAGCCGTTGACGGAAGCCAACACTAGAATTCACTACAGGAGATCCTTCTGCTTCCTAAACTCTTTAAACCCCATCACTGTAGAGCAAAACTACCCTCCGAATTCTTGCTCCTAAGCACGGAAGTGTGGATGCCTTGCTGGGTCCTTGCATTCGCTAGGCACGTCGCTGCCGTCGCTCAGGACCCTGAAAGGGCTTTGACGATGAGAGCCTGCAGAGGCATTAGTGGCCGAAGCACGAGGTTTCGCTGCAGAGGGTGAAAGAGTTGGCGCTTTTTTGGATGTTAGCTCTGACGACAGGAAGATGTGTGTCTAAGTGTATCTTCCTTATGTAGGTATACTGCGCATGTACATAGTATATCTGTCCTTACTGGTTCTTATACATGTATGCGGTATACAGATGTTTTAGGAAATCAGACAAGAAAATGTAATGTTTCAGACCCTGGAGGTTGCTTGCCTTGCGACCATCAGGGCTTGGCCCAACGTACTTAGTGTGCCAGCGACTTCCCATATGGGTAGTTGACAAAATTCGGGTCCCTTTTTGGGTACCCTAAATATTAGGTGCCGTACTACAATAAGGACCCAAAAAGGGACCCTAATTTTGACAACCACCCATGTGTTCTTTAGTTGTGTTGCCTTGCCTGCACGATGAGACTGACTTCAAGACAACTGCCATAACAGAGATCAAACAATGCTGAGACTGGCCACCCGATCCGTACAGAAAGAGAAACAAGCAAACGCGGCTCTTCAAAACGGAGACGCATTTACGTGTCCTGCAGAGAAGTAGGTTTCACTGGGACAAAGACACCCTGACGCAGAGCACAACTCACTGCGACTGCACGTTTAAGGCTTGTCGTTTGCTTACAGGCACTATGAGCACAGTGCGAAGGTAATGTGCATGCCATGCAGCAGCACGAGACTCAAGATCAGACGCGACATTCTGGAAAGACTTCAAGCGTGACGAACAAAACGACTGTTGTGGGAATGTTCCGAAATGAAGGAGCGCCCCAGCCAGAGGACGTTAGGCGCAATATGTGTGGAAGCTAGGATTTAAGGTTCACTTCATCCTACTGCAGGAGTCTGTTTTCGCACGAGCTCATCAGATAATCCTGGCCAGGAGCCCCGAACAGAAAGCTTCAATCTTCAAAGCCCCCAAAAAACCCAAACTGCTCACAACTTGAAGCACCTAACCGAGACCTAAAGCTCGAAACCCTAAAGCCCCAAGCCCAAAACTGAAGGACCTAAACCCTAAAGCACCCAAACCCGAAACCTCAAACTTTGAAGCACCCAAACCCTGAAAGGCCCTGAAGCACCCAAGCCCTAAAGCAGCCCAATTACCAAAGCACCCTCAAGCACCCAGACCCTAAACCCCAAACCCTAAATAAACCCCTAAACCCCAAACCCGACAGCCCCAAACCTGGCGCACCCAAACCCGAAAGCCCAAAACCTGGAGCACCCATGCCCGGAAGCCCCAAGCCCTAAAGGACCCAAACCTCAAAGCCCCAAAGCCCCCCTGAAGCTCCAAACCCGAAAGCCCAGACCCTGAAGCCCTAAACCCCAACACCCCCAACTCAAACCTTAAAGCAACCAAGCCCTATAGCCCCAAACCCTGTAAAGGACCCAAACCCTAAAGCGCCCGAACCCGAAAGACCCCAAGCCGTAAAGTACCCAAGCCCGAAGAAGCAATCAAAAGCCCCGAAACCCTGAAACCGCGAACCCTAAAGCCAAAACCCTGCAACCCCAAACCCTGAAGACCCAAACCTCAAAGCAACCAAGCCCTATAGCCCCAAACCCTGCAAAGGACCCAAACCCTAAAGCACCCGAACCCGAAAGACCCCAAGCCGTAAAGTACCCAAGCCCGAAGAAGCAATCAAAAGCCCCGAAACCCTGAAACCGCGAACCCTAAAGCCAAAACCCTGCAACCCCAAACCCTGAAGACCCAAACCTCAAAGCAACCAAGCCCTATAGCCCCAAACCCTGCAAAGGACCCAAACCCTAAAGCACCCGAACCCGAAAGACCCCAAGCCGTAAAGTACCCAAGCCCGAAGAAGCAATCAAAAGCCCCGAAACCCTGAAACCGCGAACCCTAAAGCCAAAACCCTGCAACCCCAAACCCTGAAGACCCAAACCTCAAAGCAACCAAGCCCTATAGCCCCAAACCCTGCAAAGGACCCAAACCCTAAAGCACCCGAACCCGAAAGACCCCAAGCCGTAAAGTACCCAAGCCCGAAGAAGCAATCAAAAGCCCCGAAACCCTGAAACCGCGAACCCTAAAGCCAAAACCCTGCAACCCCAAACCCTGAAGACCCAAACCTCAAAGCAACCAAGCCCTATAGCCCCAAACCCTAAAGGACCCAAACCCTAAAGCACCCGAACCCGAAAGACCCCAAGCCCAAAAAAGCAATCAAAAGCCCCGAAACCCTGAAACCGCGAACCCTAAAGCCCAAACCCTGCAACCCCAAACCCTGAAGACCCAAACCCCAAAGCAACCAAGCCCTATAGCCCCAAACCCTGTAAAGGACCCAAACCCCAAAGCGCCCAAACCCGAAAGACACCAAGCCGTAAAGTACCCAAGCCCAATACAGCAATCAAAAGCACCGAGCCCTGAATCCGCGAACCCTAAAGCCAAAAACCCTGCAACCCCAAACCCCGAAGACCCAAACCCCAAAGCAACCAAGCCCCAATAGCCCCAAACCCTGTAAAGGACCCAAACCCTAAAGCACCCAAACCCGAAAGACCCCAAGCCGTAAAGTACCCAAGCCCAATACAGCAATCAAAAGCACCGAAACCCTGAAACCGCGAACCCTAAAGCCAAAACCCTGCAACCCCAAACCCGAAAGACCCCCAAGCCGTAAAGTACCCAAGCCCAAAAGCCCTAAACCCAAAAAGGACTCAAACCCTAAATTACTAAAGACCCAAACCCTACCCTGGAACTCCCCAAACACCGCTGTTCTCTCTGAAAGCTGTTCTGCCTTCGGGGCATCGGCCAAAGGCAGCTGCAAAGCAGCTGCGTGGCCTGGCTTTATAAGGGGTTGATAAGGGTTCTATACAATGTGAGAACAGCTTCAAAGAGGGTTCTATACGGGTACTATCGGGGTTCTACACGAACTCCAAAACCGTTAGGGTTTTAGGGTCTCGCGGGTTTTCTGTTGTCGAGACTTTATGTTTAGGTAGGATCAGCCCCTCGCTTGCAGATCAGTGCGAGGTTTACTAGGCTTACTGCGATTCCATTGCAGTTACCGCCAAAATGACTTTGTTTGTCGTTATCCGCGCTACTATTGCTGCTGCAATACACTACCGCTACATTGCTTTCTAGGTGAAAACCGAATCATTTGCTCCGCAGCAAACTTTCTGCAATGTAGGGGCCTTAAGAAGGGTATAAAGGGTACCGCACTGGATGTTTCCTCACAGCTTCGGACTGATGACAGGGACTGGGGCTCGTGGCGCCCGGGTGCCCCCACACTCTGAAACCAGAAGCCCTGAAATAGAGACTCTGAGCGCGCAATCCCCTCCTAAAAACCCTCGGCCCACATCCTGTATGAGCGAGGATAATGCTTAGATCAAATGGTTCCGCGTAGTAGTAACCCTTCCCTAAACCCTAAACCCTTACTTGAGCCTTGCTTCCTCACGGTGTGCCGATAGAGCCCCGAGCGAGCCTGCATCGCTCATCTTGGCCCAAGTCTTCCTGAGCCCGGCGGGTTTAGAGTTTATGGTTTAGGTCTAGGGTTGGCTTAGAGTTCCGGGTTTTGAGTTTAGGGTTTAGGGCTGGGTTAGGGTTCAGCAAGGAAAGGGGCCTGATCTGGGTCTTCAAGGGAGTTTGGGCTTAGGGATGTTTAGGGTCTCTAAAACCTCGATAACATCCGAAGATCCTTCTTTCACCCCTTTTGAATACTGCACACTACAGAACCCAGCAAGCTTGTGTCACTGCCACATGCGGCCTCACGATGTCCAGCAACTTCTCCTCGGCGACTGTGGAAGCTCGGGGGCTCGGGGGCTCTCCAGGAAACTCCAGCAAAAAGGGTCTATAACACAGGGGCCTTACCCAGAGCCTGCAAAACCCTTACTTAAGGAATATACGTTAAATTATAAGAAGATCCCTATTATAATTTCAGGTATATTCCTTAATTAAGGGGTTTTGGAGGCTCTGGGTACTAATTAGAATAGGGTTCCTTCTTGACGGGTCCTTTAACGGAGGGTCCACAGGCGGTCTATAGCAGGGTTCTTTGATTTCGGGGTCTTAATAATTAGAATAGGGTTTAGGGGTATGTTAAACTCTAACTATCATAAGGAAACCCACAAAATTATATAGGTAATTATTTAGGCCCCGCGTATTATGTGAGGTTTGAAGGTTGAGGGTTTAGGGATTCTGAGGCTTTTAGGGTTCGGAGTTCAAGGTATAGCTCAGCGTTTAGGGACTATAGGCCCTTGATACTCGCAGATTCCAAGTTCGCGGGTCTGCAACTTGAATGTTTCACCATGTGGGAGTTTCCGAAAATTAGCGGTACCTTACCTTGGGGTCCTTATGGTAAGGATCCTACTATTAGGGTACTATATTTTTGTCCCCTAGTTTAGGAAACTCCCATGTAGCATCGAACAGACAGCCTCAAGCAAGACGAAGCAGGAAGAGACGGTCAGTGTAGAGGGTTTAGGGGTTCAGGGAAACCACGAAGTCATAGGTGGTTTGGAATATGGAAGCAAACTGGGTTGTTGGCACACGTGCGTCCACTACTGAGTTCTTTTGGTGTCGACAGCAATAGGCTTTTGCATCATCGGCAGAACGAAAACAGGTTCCGTGGCTTTTGGGGTGCAGAAATTTGAGTACCAGGCGCAGCCTTCAAGGATCGGGCGCTCTTACAGGCAAAAGCACCTTAAGCACAAAGCCCGTCACTTGGAGCCGCAAGCCTCCAAACCCACCCGTGATGGGGGACATGATTCCAATGGCGACCTTTCCCAGGAGCTGTACAGACAATGTGAAACAGTGATCCGTATGCCGCAGTAACATGCTACCAACGGCTTCAGGGTTGTAAGCCTCGTCTGTTCCGAACATCTAGTAAACCCCCGTATACCCCAACATGATCTTACATTCCTGCTGGTGTCACTCGGCTTTCCCCTTAATCGAACCACCAACCCATGGGCACAAGCAGAGACAAAAGATCCCGATCCCGTAGATTTGTTAGCGCGAGGTACGCCCCCCAAGAAAGATTTGGGAGTTTCAGAAAAATCGGCGTACCTTATTATTTTGGGGTCCTTAGTCCTCTAGGTTCGGGTCCCCTTTCTTTTGGAAACTCCCAATTTCATGTCTGCCGGAGCTCCTCGCCCAGGGCATCCTTGCCAGGCTCCGTCACGTGCTTCTTGGAGAACGGAATCCAGTAGTACCTAAGGGCTCGTCCCTGTAGACTTGTGCGATGATGTGCGTTTCAAGCCCAGGTGTCTGAACTACAGATGTTTAAGTTGAGAGGCTCGGACCTCATCAAGGGTTTAGGGCTGCAAAGTGGTTAGGGAAGTGCGTCGCGCTAAGGGGTTTACGATCCACTAATACCTGGAGGTTGATATCGTGGGGTTCCGGTAGTGCGTGGGGGCTGTCGGTTTCGAGAAGTGAGTGCATGGCTCAGGACTCCAGCGGCTGCACAGCGGTACGTCTCAGCAACAACTCAGCGAAACCCTGGGGTTAACTGTTAATGGCAATATGGGAGTTTCCGAAAATAAGGGACCCAAATATAGTGCCCTAATTAGTAGGACCCTTATTATAAGGACCCCCACATAAGGTACCCCTAATTTTCGGAAACTCCCATATTAGTGTAGGCCTCCAGGTGTCAGTATGACCCCGAGGGCTGAAAGTCCATAGTTGAGGGAAAACAGACTCTGTTGGACGCTCGGAGCTCCCAAGTTCTCACTTCCTGTCCCGCGGCGCAGATCGAGATTTGAGTGCTTTGAGGGCTCCTTTCTCGGAGTTCAGATTCTGAGGAGGGGTAGGTACAGTGCAGTTCATAACACCTTTGGGATTCGCGGTTTGGAGCTTCGTCTTCGGGGAGCTTGGGCGAAAAAGCCGAGCTCGTGCACCTGTGCAGGGTTGTGCTTACTTGCGTTGCATCTTTCGGTGGGCTATGGAATGCGGAGACCTGAACCCTCCGCAACAAAGGACGACCGAACTCATCCATTCCGACTTGGGGACTTCCCAGAGACTCCAATACCCCTTAATTACGGAGTATGCCTTATCTCATATTAGGGATCCTACTATGGTTCAAAGGTATACTCCTTAATTAAGGGATTATGGAGTCCGTAGGTTGCCCCGCTCGGATCTTTCTCTGGCTTTTCCAGTGCCGGGCGGCTCGATGAAAACGAGGCAGATCACATCTTCAAGGAGTTGGACATCTGCATCTTTCTTGATGTCCTTGCGACAGCAGTAGGAGTCCTACTCAGCTCCAGAAAATGGGGCGGAAAACTGCTGAGACCTCGGTAGGCTTCAACTTCCACTATCAGCAACTACGCGACATCTGAAACCAGGGCGGTGACGACGCTGCTCTGCATGCCTGCAGAGCCCTCTTGCAGAGCCGGCCTTCTTCGTCAGGAGAGTGGTGACCCGCTTTGCTTCCTTCTCACTGTAGCCCGCCTTGAGCATTTCCTCCTCAGTTGGGGAACCAATGGGCAGAAACTGCGCCGAAGCTTCGTCTAGACTGTTGATACCAGAGCTTTTTGTTCGTTGCTCCCCCCAAGCCCTCAAGTAAACCGAAGCCCGACATCCCTAAACTAAATCCCCGAAATCCCCTAGACCCTAAATCCCCTAAACCCTAAATCCCCTAAACCCTAAACCCTAAATCCTAAACCCTAAATCCCCTAAACCCTAACCCCGAATTCCCCAAAGAAACCGAAGCCCGAAATCCCAAAGCTCTCCGAGGAGCGGAAGCGATCTTGCCATGCATCCTCCCGAGCTCCTGGCATCTCTTTTTGTAGTAGTAGTAGTCGTCGTCGTAGTAGCAGTAGTAGTACTTTCCCAACAAGTTTCAAAGGGGCAAGACAAGTTAATTTCGTAGAATTTTATGAGAGTGCTGACCGTAGCACTGCAAATTTAGAGCTGGGTTGTATTATGGGCCTTTCTGAGAGGGTTGGAGCCGGACAGCCCGAACTCTAAATGGTAGTTTCCGAAAATTAGGGGTACCATTTTTTGGGGGGTCCTTGTAACAAGGATCCTACTATTTAGGGTACTATATTAGGGTCCCCCATTTTCGGAAACCCCCAAATCTCAAAAAAGGACTAGTGACTAGTAGGAAGAGAGCGCCTGCCTTTCTCAACACCAAGGCCCAAAGGTCACAGCCTGGGACCCTGAGGACAAAAAGGCAATGGGAAGGTGCAATGGAGTGCCAGGTTTTGGCTCAACCTTCTGCAAAGAAGTGTTCTGCAGGATTTTCAAACGGGCTCTGCTGATAAGGATCCTGCCGCACATCATACTATACCAGAACCACTGTAGGGAACCTCAAGAAATGGCATGAGTAATCCTAGACTAGAGGCCCCTGTGGTGCCCCGTGTGCCTGTCGCCACTGCTTGTAGCCAGCAGTGCCCTGATCGGCTGGAAGCTCCGTTTTGGGCTTTGGGCTTGCGGTCCAGAAACCCTGAAACCCCCAAACACCAGCAAATGTGCGTGTGTGTATGTATGTGTATATATATATACACATATATATATATATATATATATACACATATATATATATATATATACACATATATATATATATATATATAGGGACAGGGGGCTGGGTTTCCATGCGACTTCAAGGGACCGAGGTTAGCGCAACGTAGGTTCTGCGTGAACTTTGTGCTTCGTGACAAGGTAGGGCTTTTCGGGGTTGCACAGAATCTTCAAGGGAGTTGGTGGCGGGACAGCATTGCTCAAGCCAAGGCACATCTTCGGTACGTGGCACTTAGAGATTTTGGGCTTTGGGCTTGCGGTCCAGAAACCCTGAAACCCCCAAACACCAGCAAATGTGCGTGTGTGTATGTATGTGTATATATATATATATATATACATATATATATATATATATACACATATATATATATATATATACACATATATATATATATATATATATATATATATATAGGGACAGGGGGCTGGGTTTCCATGCGACTTCAAGGGACCGAGGTTAGCGCAACGTAGGTTCTGCGTGAACTTTGTGCTTCGTGACAAGGTAGGGCTTTTCGGGGTTGCACAGAATCTTCAAGGGAGTTGGTGGCGGGACAGCATTGCTCAAGCCAAGGCACATCTTCGGTACGTGGCACTTAGAGAGAGGTTTACTGCGAGTGAGACCACAAGACAGAGGAAGCCAGCGCAAACAACATCATCCCACCATACAACCCTAAGCCCTATATTATACCTTTGCATACCTTGAGCATTCTGTTTCCTAACCTGTATATGGGTGGTTGTCAAAATTATGGCCCCTTTTTGGGTACCCTAAATAATAGGTGCCGTATCACAATAGGGACCCAAAAAGGGGGCCGCAATTTTGACAACCACCATATACCCTAGCCGCTAGGTACCCTCAACCCCCACGTCAAAGCCGAGACTTCAAAGGGCGACCGAGAGCTGGCCTCTCGCGGGGATCCGAATCCAAAGACGGGCTTTTGGAGGGTTTAGGGGTTTAGGGGTTTAGGGGTTTAGAGGTTTAGGGTTTAGCGGTTTAGGGTTTAGGGGTTTAGGGTTAAGGGGTTTAGGGTTTAGTGTTTAGGGGCAATGCCCCCAAGCAGGACCAAACTCTCGAATGCACCAGCGACCTTGTGGATGCCTGCTTCTAGCCCTGCGTTCCCAGAGAAGCAAGTCTCTAAAGCTTGCATGATGCTTGAATCTGGGATTCCCTCATGTATGATCCCTAGCAGCAGCAACTGACTACCCACTTGCCACAGCCCTGCACTCCAAACCTTATGCTATTGGTTAGAACTTAGAACCGGGCGCTTATGACATTTTCTCGTCTATGCGTGTATATTATATGTAAATATCATTTATGTATATATATATATATATACACATACGTACAATATATATATATATATATATATATATATGTTGCAGCGTCAGGCCCTGGCCTCCGGATAATCCTTGCGCTCGGAGACCCACCTGGGCTGTGGGGCGACGACCGGACTGCCGGTTCGAGGCTGACCGGCTTTTTAAAACACCATAGGTTTTTAGGTTTTTTTAAAAAACATAGATTTTCCTAGGTGTTTTAAAAAACCATGCGTTGCCGCAGCTCTTGCGGTCTTCTCTCTGGTGCGTAGTAGGGAATGGGGGGAGAGTCCTTAGGGCTCCTTTAACGGATCCTATAAAGGGATCTATAAGGGGCTGCCTTACTGTCTGGTGCGTAGTAGGGAATGGAGGAATGGATCCCGAAAAGTAGTCCCTCTATGAATCCTCAATAGTAGTCTCCATAATTTATTCCTCATTCCCTACCAAGAACCAGACTGTCTTAAGGGGTTCTTTAGCCTTCAGGCTCGAAGCTCTCTCTCTCTCTCTGGCTCTCTCTCTCTCTCTCTGGCTCTCTCTCTGGCTCTCTCTCTCTCTCTCTCTCTCTCTCTCTCTCTCTCTCTCTCTCCGTTCGAAGCCAAAAGCCAAGAATTCGGCCTAGCTGCCGCTTCACGTGCTGCGAGCGGGCAGCGATCTTGACGACGTCAGAGCAGTTCCTGGGACTTCGAAGAGGGTTCTGGCTTCAGTGAACGGGTTTATAGTTTAGGGCTGGGGTTCGCCAGTGCTTCCGGCTTTAGTGGCCTTAAACTGGTAAGTCATTGCGTTACGACAACTTGGTTAGACCGTGAGGCTTAGGGCTAAGGACTTGGGATGTAAGCCTCTCGCATATCTTCTATGGTCTCGCAGCGATGGTGAGCGAGAAATATGCTGCCGAGTCGACCCCTTGCAACTAAGCAGATTTGCAACCAGGCAGATCTGTTTCGTTCAAGCCCCAGTGCCATCATAGTAATGGAAAGTCTTTGGGACCTACGCGCGCGCTAGGCCTAAAAAGGAGGATGTGGATACTCCAAACTGACCACGCGATCTAATATGCCTCGCAAGGCTGTCAAGGGCGGACCTCTATGAATTGGGGACCTACTGCGAACTTTCTGGGACTCGAAGCCCCGAAACCCGAAAGCCCTAAACCCAAAGCCCTAAACCCTAAACCCGAAACCCTAAACCCTAAACCCGAAACCCGAACAGAAAAGGCCACTCTCCTGTCATGATGGGGCAGCCTCTGCTCGTTCTCAAAACAGGTCCAAAGACAAAGAAAAGGAGAGGACAAAAATAGGTCCAGAGTACTAAACAGGGTTTAGGGTTTCGGGTTTAGGGATTGGGGAAAAAAATTGTCCCCAATATGTTTAGTGCTTCGCTTTCCAACACTCCTCGAACCCCTAAGCCACTCAGGGACAAATTACTGTGGACCTGATGCCCAGGGGCGGGGCGAAGATGCTCAATCGTCGGCCTTCCCGGTCAAACTGATCATTGTGACACGGGATGGGGTCGTGACTACCTGCTGGACTTCATGAAGCTTGGTTTCCAAGTCCTTAGCCCAGTTGTTGATTGCCTAAAGGTAGCTCTGTCGTGAGAATCCTTGGATACCGAGTCTCGAAGATGAGTCTTTCGGGAGGGCGGGAAAGAAACAGTAAAGTAAAGCTCTCAATACATCCCCCCAACCCCAAACCCTAAACCCCCGAAGTCCTAAGCCCTAAACTCCAGCTTGCGCTGGATGCACATGTCGCATTTTCATTGTGCAAGGACCCAGAGCCTCCAAAACCCCTTCGTAAAGGAATATACCTTAAATTATAATAGGATCCCTAATATGATGTTAAGGTATATTGCTTAATTATTGGGTTTTGGAGGCTCTGGGGAGACCTTTTTGGACCTCCAAGTCCGGAGACGTCGGGCTTTCGGTTCTCGAGCTTGCAGACAGCAGCGACTTAAAGGATCATGGAGCTTAGTAACTTAAAGGGTTCCTTAAAGCGACCTATAAAGGGATCTATAAGGGATCTATGGGCGTTTAGGGTTTAAAGGATCATGGAGCTTAGTAACTAGCGCTATCATTGGGGTAATGATACGTATAACCACGATTTGGGTACTTATAACTTTACTTACTAAGTCCCATGACCCTCCAAGTAGTGTCACACACCGACAAGGTCCTCTGATGCAACCGAGGAGCTCATGCGCTTGCCATAGAGCCACTCCTTCGGCCGGGTGTCCTGTGCATCATATGCTGGGCTTTGAAGTAACCAGGGAGAAAAAAACGTAGAGACCATGTATGTCATAATTGTTCCCTTCCAGTGACAGGTCCCCAAAAAAAGGATCCAAAGCCCAGCATAGCAAGATGCCTAAATCTACTGCAATGTACTATGAAGCTTTAGGGTTTAGGGCTTCGGGTGTAGGGCTTATGCTTCAGGGTTTAAGCCCCCAAGTTTTGCCCTGAAGGGCGACGCAAGGGATTTTTCAAGGACTCCAGGCCCTGCGCCCTAAACCCGATTATTCAAGAACTTACGGCACTCACCCAGGACCATGTTGAACTTAAACAGTCTCCTTGAATCACAGGGAGTCCCTGACAAAGGACCTACACTAAACCCTAAATCCTAAACCCTAAAATCTAAACTTTGGGTTTAGGTCTTTATTTTAAGGTTTAGGACTAGGACCTAAACCCTAAAAAGACCTAAACCCAAAGCCCTACAATCCGAAATCTTCAAGTCCAAGCTACCCCAGCCCTAGAAGACCTCAACCCCAATCCATCAACCTCGAGACCCTAAACCCTAAATCCCCCAAACTCCAAATATCCCGGGTCCTCCGATTACCATGGAAGTAGGCTACAGGAGTACATTATCGTAAAAAGCCTGGCATCTTATAACAGGGTCCATAAACACTAAATCCCATTATAGTAGTAAGCTAGAGCAAAAAAATCGAAAAAAACATGTCGTCTTATAATCCCGGGTCCATTACGATAGTAGTAGGCTATAGTAGTACGTTATGGCATAAGCCTGGCATCTTATGTCAAAGGGTAAAAGGAGGGACCCCTAATAAGGACACCGAGGTATATACCCATAATATAGCCATTATATACCCATTATATAGCCCATTATAGGGTAGGGGTCCCCATTAAGGGTCCCTCCTTTTCCCCTTTGATTATGACTCGGGTTTTGGTGCCCATTATACTCTAACTATAATAAGGAACCCCCAAAATAGTATAGGTCATTACTTTAAGGCCCCTGTAGTAAGCCTGGCATCTTATGACTCCCGGGTCTCCTCCTTCATCGCCCCGGCCTTCTCAAGCTCCTCACCGACCTGGAGCCTAGGCTCCGGCAGTTCCCAAAAAGGAGACTTCCTGTTGATGATATAAATCCCTAGGGGTTCCTTTAAAGGGATCTATAGGGGTACCTTGAAGGGGTTCCCTTTACGGGATCTATAGGGTTTTGGGGTTTGGGGTGATGATATAAATCCTGCGTTACCTTAAGGGCCCTAAGCTATGGGAATTGTGGTAAATTCCTTATTATGGGTCATGCAGGATTTATATCATCAACCGTCCCGATGGTTTCTTTGGAGGGGTGCCGGTGGGCTCTTTGGCATTTGGGGGGGGTTCTGGATGCTTCTTGTGGATTCGGGCTTTGGCTTAAGGAAGTCTTGAGGGCTTTGGTCTAAGGAACTTTTGAAGCCTGTGGGCCGTCAAAAACTGGCTGCCGTGAACGCTGCCGGTAGTTTTGCAGTCTTGGGGTCTTTTGGGGGAGTTGAGTACCCTAAATAGTAGGATCCCTATAAAAAGGACCCCAAAACAATGTACCCCCAATTTTCGGAAGCTCCCATAGGGCTTGACGGCTCAAAAGAAGTAAGGCTCTGCACTTCAGGCCTCGGGATATTCATTCAGGGGTTGCAGCTCAGGGTTCAGAGAGTGGGTGGAGGGCCCTACAGGCTTCCAGCATCAGTCATGCTTGCATTTTTGTTGAGGTTTAGGGTCTTAGACCTACTCTAGGCCTTAAGGCAAGAGAGCTTGGCAGCGTTTGGGATGTGTCACCGGGCGGGTGCCTGTCTGGTGGGCAGATATTTAGAAACAGAGAGGGATGGAGATTGCATCCCGCTACTGCAAGGCAAAGGAAGGACTTGCTGAACACATCTACACAGAACCTGAGCATGATGCCCGTGTACATGAGTGCAAGCTCACGAGTACAGGATGTACAGACCTGCCACCTTGCCTGCCTGGGTGGGTGGATGGGTAAATGGATGTAAACCGTAATATATAAGTACCTGCACGTACAGAGCGACACGACGTGCAAGTGGTTTTTCCGGTCGCGCATACATTGATGCAAGGAGCTCGTCCTCGCGAGGGTCTGCAGCATTGATGGCGTCGATGGCATCCTCGGATCATATGGGTGAACGCGGACACACACCCTGTCAAAACAAGCACCCTCTAAGCAGCCCAGGCCACTTGTATGAGTCATCTAAACGCACTATGAAGGCTAGGCCCTAGGCCGAACATGGCGAACCCGCTGTGTCCGAGATGCCAGCACCTGCTGCAGCTGCCGCTGGCGTCGCTGGCGGCGCAGCTGCCAAGCGACCTTGGGCGTTGGGGTTTGGGGCGCGACGGAGTTTACGGCGAGCTCTCTGATGGACCACTCCAGGAATTTGAATGTGGGAGTCGGTCTCGGTTAAGCCAATTCTCAAGGACGGCGAATGACAGCTACCATGCAGGAGGTAGCTGATCACGCCGCGGGATATTGGAGGAAGCCTGCTATACGTTGTGATGCTCCACTAGCCACGGTAGGTGCAACTCGCACTCGGAGCCAAAAAAGCCCTTACTGGGAACTCCAGAAAGTTGGAATATGGTTTCAGGGTAGGATACCCTATAATTTACCATAAAGGGCTTAGGATAATCATATTCCAACTTTCTGGCTTTTACTGTAGGGAGACCCTAAACCCTAAACCCTAAACCCTTAAGCCTTAAACCTTGACCGGGAACCCCTGGAAAGGCCCTCGTCCAGACCGGGAGACCTGGCAGTATCGGGCCTTTTCGAATAAGCCCGATGTAACCCTGTACTTAAAGGATCATGGGACTTAGTAACTAGGGCTAAATAGTTAGGGTAACTATACTTCTAACTACTTATAACCCGAATTAAGGTACTTATAACCTTACTTACTAAGTCCCATGATCCTCCAAGTACCCAAAGAGCCGTAAACAGTTCAAACCAGAAGCAACAGACTTCTGAACCCAGCCCGAGAGCCTGGGGAAGGTTCTGCACAAGTGTGGATCGGCACTAACTACATACATGCCTGCGTTCGTTGCATGTGTGTATATATATATGTATATATACACACATACATGACACATATAATTAAACATATAATTATATAGTTTTATATACATGTATATGCATGTCTATCAACTCATCTACCTAGCTCTCCGAGATCGAGCTCTGTCCTTCTTTCTTTTCCCTCTTTCGGCCCCGTGGCCGCCAGCGACGCGGCCAGCGCGGCCGTTGCCGCAGCGATGGTGAGGTTGCGCCGGGTGTTCTTGGACTCTGCCATGGAAAAGGCCGAGAGAAGAGGACAAGGCCCCTTCAAATTGAAAAAAAGCAAAGGCCTGGGCCTATGGTGGTAGCATGAGATGAGAAAAGTGTGCGTAAGACGCAATGGCACCCCGAAGAGATTCAGAGATGCCCCGCTCTTTTTGAGCCAGCTGAGGGTATGCAAAGCCCTGTGAATCCGTCTGCATTGGGGACTTGGGGCTTTAGTGCCTTAGGGATCCAATTAGCTCTTCACCGGAAGTGTTTAGAGTTTAGGGTTTAGGGTTTAGGGTTTAGGGTTTAGGTACAGGAACCCAAGTTTCATAAATGCCCCGCATGCTACCAACCCGTGCAGACGGCAACAGCTGGAACGAATGGAAATGGGACTCCTCCCATCTGTGCATGGCCCAGAAGACGTGCACACAGGAACAATCGAAGCTTGTCTCATGCCACTAGGAAGAGTCGTGACAGCACGGCGCATACACAGTGCAAAAATGTCAAGGATGAAGTCAGAATAGCACTGACGAAACCAAATATCTTGACATCATGCCAAGCCCTGAACAAACACGGTTAGGAGGACGTAGCCGTTGTCCAAATGACATGTGGCAGAATACATGCGAACAGCAATACCAGCTAACAACATCAATGAATCCAGTAGCAAACAGAGTAGGCATAGCGATGATATTGATTTCGAAAAGAGCACTATCTTTCAAGAACCCTCAAACCCGCACACCCCAAACCCTAAACCCTAACCCCTCAAACCCTCGAGGCCAAAAGGAAAAGACTGCTTAAAGGATCATGGGACTTACTAACTAGTGTAGTTATTAGGGTAACTATACTTATAGCCACTTATAACCCCAATTAGGGCACCTATAGCCTTACTTACTAAGTCCCATGATCCTCCAACTTGACCCAAACCCTAAACCCTGAAAACCCCCAACCCCAAACCCTAGACCCCAGACCTTAAACCCTCAAAACCCTGGAGGCCAAAACGAAATGCCTGCTTAAAGTATCATGGGACCCTTAACTCCTGGCGCTTATAGATCCCTTAAAGGAACCCTGCAGGGACTCCTTACTGACTAAGTCCCATGATCCTACCCTAGACCCTAAACCCCTAAGCCCTAAACCCCAAAACCCCTAAGCCCTAAACCCCCAAACCCTAAAACCTAAACCCTAAACCCGGGGCCTCTGGTTGGCCGGCTGAGGCCCCGAAGTGTCAGGGGTGCCGCAAGGGCGAGGCCTGACAGCTTAGGGCTTTAGAGGGCCCATAGGGATCAAAGGGCTTGGGGCTTCAGGGGTTTAGAGTGTTCAAGTTCAGGATAACAAGGATGTAGAAGTTCAGGGTAAGGAATGAAAAATATCCGGTTTAGGGCCTAGGATGTGGGTCTTAGCATGTGAGGTTTAGGGCTTAGGGTTTACTGGGTTCTTGTTAAGGAGTTCATGCAACTTACCATGATAAGGAAACCCAACTATTTACAGGAGATCCAAGTTGGTATTTTTACAAGAACCCAGTTTAAGACGCAGTGGGTTCATTCGCCTTGATTTGTGGGACTGGCTTCGATTCCGGCTTCAGGCTTCCCAGAGCCTCCAAAACCCCTTAATTAAGGAATATACCGTAAATTATAATAGGATCCCTAATATGATTTTAAGGTATATTCCTTAATTAAGGGGCTTTGGAGGCTCTGGGTTAGGGAGAGGGATTGGCAATTGGGTGGGTTCGGGTTCAGGGTTTAGGGTTTAAGGTTTACGGTTGTGGGTTTAGGGGGGTTTCGCCCAGAGACTCCAATATCCCGTCATGAAGAAAGATAGCCTAGATTACAGTAGGATCCCTTCTGTGATTTATCATTCAGGCCCGCATACTAAACCCTTATAGTAGCCCTTATAGTAACCCTTATAGACCCCTTTTAAAAGGATCCCTTCTGCGATTTATGGTACATTCCTCAATTTGGGGGGGGGATATTGGAGTCTCTGGAGGGATGGTTCAGGAGGACGGGCCTTCCAGGGCGAGTAATCAAACTTCCGATTCTTCTGAGAATCGGCATTGTCACTGGTTCTTCTGATTGCTGCAGTCTGTGGGGCTTCTTAGCTGGTGATCATGATGCCTGTGACGGCCATGGGCGGTATGCGCACCATAATGGCTAGTATCAGTCGTACCTGCTTACGTTGCTGTCTAGCCGTCTAAACACTCGCCACGAGACCCTCTGCACTCCCGAAGTCCCTGAGTGCGGAGCCCGAAAGCGAACGCAGCGGAGCTGAACTGAAACCCTTGAGTCCATGAAGCGCTCATGTGGTGTATATATATATATATATAGATAGAATCCTACTCTACTAGTAATCCGAGAGGCCTGAATGCCCCCGAAACCCTCCCAAGTCCTGGCAGCAGCCGCCCGGCGGTCGATGCGATGCCTCGAAAGCGAGGTGGGCACCAAGGCACAGCACATCGCGGCACGTAGACATGATAGCAAAAATACGAACAGCAGCAAAAGACACAGCAATACGGCGGTGGCAGCAACCACTCTGATGATGCCAGCAACCCGCACGAATGTAGTGATTATATGCATACATATATACATGAACTCACGCATGTGCATACACATGTAGGCGTATAACCTGTAGAAGTACAGATAGGTAGATAGATACATACATACACACAGACATACATAGAAAGATGGAGAGATAGGTGGAGAGGTAGACAGACTTGCGCATCCAAACGTCGGACCTGGCGTGTCCGGCCGGGAGGTGCGCCGGGGCCCTGCTGGGCGCTGCACAGCCTTGCGTCGGGTTTAGGGTTTAGGGTTTAGTTTCCGAAAATATGGTTGATGATATAAACCCTGTATTACCTCAAGGGCCTGAAACTATACGAGTTATGGTATATTCCTGATTATGGGTAATGCAGGATTTATATCATCAACCGCTCGGGTTGTCGAGGCGCTTGGGGGAATGCGAACAAAAACATACACGAAGCTTTGGATACAGACAGAAGTACATGCTCCTATCAATTTACCTGTCTATCTATCTGTCTATCTGCCTATCTGCCTATCTATCTATTTATCTATCTCGCTCTCTCTATCTCTATACATGCAGATGTTTATGTAGATATGTGCATCTCCGCGTGTGTGCATTAGAGTGCGTGTTTAAGAAGGACATCCAATGACTTTGCGACTCTATTCATAAATGGAGCGGTCACATACCAGCCCCATACATGCATGAATCATGTCAATTATCTGCTGGCCTGCATGCACTCATGGTTGTGCTATGTGCGTTCGCGGCCACCCCCACCCCGGGTGTGCACACATGCATTTGCATGTACGGACGCTGCTCAGTTTTCTATGTACATATCAATATGAAGACTGACACTTGCATGCATGGACGGCCGACAAGCCCTTAGCAAGCGCTTGTTCCTGGGCCAGTGGTGTGGCCACCGTCCGTGCGGCCGCAGGCGCCACGAGCGCCATGGCCCTCAAAGATGCGAGGCGGGGGAGAGGACTACCCAAAGGCCCCAAAGTCGTTCCTTTGTGGGTTCATATATAGCATTCGTATTTAGACTACATTGTACTATATTATACAAAACTAGATTGTACTATAGTATACTATATTATACTATAGTATACTATATATGAACCCCAAGAAGGAACTACTATGGCGCCTATGGGTGCCAAGTAAAAGGTTCCTAAAAAGGAGCCGTATAGAGGTTCTTGTAGAAGGATGTAGAATCTAGGGTTCGGAGTGTAAGGGAAGAAAGGGCCTAGATGACCCATGGCTCAGGTGGTTCAGGGAATAGGGTTTAGAGTTCAGGAGTTTAGGATTACATATCATGGGTTGCGGAGAGAGCTTGAGTGCTTTCTTCCTCAAACCCCGAGTGAAATTGATCCGGCTTGCTTCGAGGCCCAACACTGGGGGTGGAATTACGAAACTGTAGCCGCCAATCCTGCGCCCGAACCGATTCGGAGTGGGTTTGTGCGTTTACACTCCGGATATACAGCTTGCTTAAAGGATCATGGGACTTAGTAAGTAAGGTTATAACTACCCCAATTGGGGTTATAAGTATAGTTAACCTAATAATAGCTCTAGTTGCTAAGTCCATGATCCTTGAAGTGGGGTACGTTTCAGGGTCTGGGCGCGCCTTCGGTCGACTGGGTCTGTTAAGGGATGAGGGGCTGTTCAGATGCCATTCGGATCCATGGAACTACCGTTGGAGGGCACCACTTACTTTCTGTTGGTTGGGGCGGGGGTGTCATAGGTACGTATGTGATCACTCATATAAGTACGTGTGTACGTATATATACCTAGACAGAAACAGCATGTACACATACATACACATGTATCTCCATCTCTCTCTCTGTCTCTCTCCGTGTCTGCGTATTCACGCAACCTCAATGTTCGCAGCTTTCTGCACCCACCTGAGCAAGCAAGAGGTAGGTCAGGGAAAGAGGTCAGACGCGGAGCCGTTTGAACCACCGCTAAGGCAACCGGTCTCCCGCGGCCTCGACGGAAGGCAGAGCTGCGCGGCTATAAGTAAGCCGAGAGGGCAAGGCTGCGAGAGGGCGACCGTTCGAATGTAGATTGCATCTAGGGTTTAGGGTTTAGGGTTAGGGGTCCTGGCCCCGGGGTAGTGAGCCTGTAAGGCTTTTAGGGGGGTAAGGAGGCCGATACTCGCAAGGCAGTGACCCGATGAATTGGAACACGGCGCAAGGCCTGAAAATCACCAGTCGCTTAGAACATGGTGTACTCCAAACTGTTAAAATACCGTTGAAGCAAAGATTTGGTGAGGAGGCCCCCGTTCAAAACAAGTCTTCCCGAGGAGGAGCAAGTCGATGCAGCAGAATGGAGGTCTTTTGGGAAAAACTTCCCTGCAAAGCCTCGAGGGGGCAGAGCAGCGATTCAACAGCAACCGAATGTCATTACTTGCTCTTGAGATACCTCAAACCCCGAGGTGTTGTTGCCGTACTTCCTTGACTAAACTGTGAGAAAAAAGTTCGATTTTCCTGTGGCCCGTCCACCGAGGAGAAGCACGCGACGTGC